ATGAATAGAGAGAATAGATGCGCGCGGTTCGAATTGCGAATGATTTGCCAAACTTGTGAAAAAAATAAAAATTACTACAAAACACTCAATCAGCATTATGCCGTCCCCGCTGGGCGGTAAAAATATATATACATTTAAATCAACCGAGAAACGACGGTGGGTAAAAACGCTGCCGCCGCAATTAAGAGCCATTCCATATGCCGTTGTGAGTTTTAATTTGGGCATTAGGTATTTATGTATTGCTGAGCTTACAATTCAATGATTACCTGTAATATATTAAGCCAGTTTAAAAGGTTAAATAACATCAATTTAGGGAACTTCATATCTTTCTTTAACGAATCTTTAAATAAATAAATATATATTTTTTTTTAGTTCTTGTTGTAATAAAATCGTGTTGTTGATTTTTTTAACTACAATTTTATTATTCAATAGGCGTTTTTTTTTATAAACCTTTCCTTTTTCTTGTTTTAACAAAAGGACCAACCTTGAAGCTATCATTGAAGGTCGAATATTCTTTTGCAATGAAACCAAAATATCAACCACATCAACATCAACAACACGTTGCACATTAATGTAAACAATTTATAATTAAAGCCCATAATAAGGCGGAAGAAATATGTACATTTTTTTTTTCATTAAGTTTCGTTAAAAGTTTTCAAAGATACAGCACTTTAAAGAAAGGTATGTATGACGTGTTCTTAAAATTTAAGTTCCGTATAAATAGGCAACCCTACGTCATATCGGCAAAATATGCTGCACGTAAATTCATGTCACCTAGACCTTCAATCTCTTCAACTTCCATCCAAATCCTTAGAGGTCGCGCACAGAGGTGGCCGCGGTGACATGAAATTCCTCTAAAGGTGAATGTTTCTATTCAAGAATTCTTGCTAGAATTTTTTGCTTAAAATGTTGTGAACCCGTTGTACGACGAGCTTTTTGATCAGTTCTAACATATTCCGGGTTAACTCTGAAAGCAGCCCACATACATGTCTACCTATTGTTTGGTTCTCTGTTTATTCACTACGCTTACGCATTACACTTGAGTTGGTGAAGTATTGCATTCAAAAATTCAAAATTCATAACAACAATGTATTGCGTGACGTGTAATTCATTTGGAATTGATCTCGTTGAAAGAGATGGGAAAAACTATTACATACTTATGTGTGTGGGTTATGTTTTTCAACAGGACGCACGCGCATCAGTCGTTAGCGTTGTGGCATGTGCCGTTCTGGTTTGTTTTTCTCATTTCTTTGAATTTCATTTTCTCAAAGTTTTCCATTACTATACACCAACAGTATCACTACCCTGAACTTGTACAGCAATTTGCTTTGGTATATACTTACATACATACATATATACAAATGTTGTTTATATTTTTAAATACATATATGTATGTGTGTGTATGTATGCAGCTTACATAAAATGCCTATGCGTTGAGTGGTCTTTCAACAAATCACTAACGCCATTCGCCATGATCAATATCTTTGCCTCATTACGACGGGGCATCATCATCAGCAGCAACCAACATTCGTGTTTTGTCTTTAACAGCCACATTAGCTGCTACCGCATCACCGTTTGTTTGTACGCTACTGGCACTTATAGTACGTTCCTATTCATCGTCATTCCACCCATTAACGCGCTGGTAATTGCTGGCATCTTTAAGATCAGAATTTGCCATCAGTACTGCCATGGGACGACTTGTGTATGTCCACACATGCCAACAATTAATCCATTGTTTAGATAGTTTTTTTTTGTTTTTGCCATGTATTTTTGTGGCTGCTGCAGTTTTACAAGCACTTAAATGTTGTTGCACACACGCTTGCATGAAGTGTCCGTAAGTATGTATGTATGTACGTACATATTAGGTGACATGATGCATTGAATTTAATTGGATGTGTTGCGTTGCTTTGCGGTTCTGTTCCTTGCACTTTGCCACTACAATGGCGCTATCATTCTGCCCTCTGGCCTCTACTTGAGTATGTAAGTGAGTACATTCGTTTTATATACATACATACATATGTATGTACATACATATGTTGCTAATAAACTGCACTAATTCAAGTGTTTGTTTGTACTCAAAGCATATTTGAGTAGCACTTGGAAATTTGAAAGAGAGAAGAACTCTATTATCAATGCTTAATTAGTGTTTTTATGTATCATTAAAATGCGATGAGTTGAATGTGATTGATGAAATGTTAATTTGTTGTTTAGATAAATCACTCAGAGTGATTTATTAAATTTGGAAAATTATTGCAATATGCAAATTTATGTTGTCACAATTCTTACAAAAATAAAACATGCAAATGAAAGTTTAATTTTCTAACAAAAAATTTGGGTCAAACTGCGTAGGTAGTTTTTCTGAGCCGTTTTCATATGCGAATTCGGCAGCTTTTAGTGAAAGGTATGAAATTTTAGAAAAAGCAATTGCTTAGTTTTTATGCATACGGCAATATGTTGATTGTTCTACAACTTTTTATCAGTATTTAATTTCATCACTTTCTGAGATATAAAGAATAATTTGTTGTAAACTAAATTTTCTCATGTTGAATATTTTAAATGATCTCTGTTTCCAAAATGCTTCTGAAAAAGCTTGCTGTTTGAAAACTTTGATAAAGCTACAGCAATTTGAAAGCTCAGAACAGCTTTGTTTGACTCGGCTCCATTCTCTGTTTGAACGTACCCTTACTCGTGTAATAGAGATGGATTCAGATAAAGAACCTTTCGTATTTTGGAAAAATTTTTAAAAAATTCAACATGAAACAATTCAGACCACAATAAGTTAGTTCAGGAACCATTAAATAATGATATAAGGTTGTAAAATAATCTATACATTTGGGGCATTTACAATGATGCGTTATTGTTGTCGAAAAGTTTAAAAGCTTAAATAAATATTTGAGGACTTTAAACCACAGCCAACTATTTTTTAATGCTGTGAAAATTCAAACGAAAAATAACGAATACCCCTCAATATATTATTAGCCGTTTAAAGTTGACGACATACAACCATACGACACTTACGACACCATTGTGAATACCCCAATTGCTTCCTCACTGAAATTATAAATTCTAAAGCAATATTATCCTTAAATATTATAAAAGATATTTTAATAACACACAAGTACTCGCTTTCGGTATCGGCAAACATGTTTTTTAACCGAATAGTCAATTTTGAACTGTTGTACGCAGCCTAAAATTTAGAATATTGTGTAGAAAAAGAATAGATACTAATGTCTTATTAAACTTTGTGCTTTTTTCTACTTTTTAATATTTTTTGAATTTGTTTTATTTAGTTTTTTTTTTTACTAAGTACGTACAAAATATTTTTGTATAGCACATACGATAATATCGTCCACAAGAAAGAAAAGATGCACTGTAACATATGATAAAATGTACTGTAAATTTTTGGCGCAACTATAGGAATTTCAGCTACATTATTTTACCAACAACAAACAACAAAACAAATTTCCATCAAAAAGTCAATTTCGAAAAAATGGTATTTGCGATAATTTCGGGCGAAGGGTCTATATGGATCACTCCATGTCAAATCGACCAGTGGTTGAGAACGACAATTTTTGATTTGGATAAATTTCGGCCAGAATTCTTTTTATTATATGAACAAATCTCACGAGTTGTTACATTTTTCGACAAAAACTGCATTATCTTTAGTTTTGTATAAAGTACAAGATTGCATCGCGAAAGTGTATTTAAATTAAAACTTAAAAATGATATCCTACTGAAAAAAAGTAAAAATAACCACTGGGGCTCATATACCCGCAGTTGCGTATAATAAAAATTGTAAAAATGGAATTTTAGTTTCTCAAATCATAATCGTCTTTTACTCAATCTCTTTTTTTCATTCGTTCCTTTTGGCAATAAAAACATTTTCACCGTTTAATGTTGACATTTTGAAATATCTTAAAGTTTTAAAATAAAAAAAAAAAAACGTAAAATTTCAAAAGTCACAAAATAGCTGCGACAGATATTCAGCATGCTGCCATTTCTTTTAATTTTGTGGTACATTCTTAAAACTCCACAGTTATGTTTTATTTAATGCCAAAGTCCATTGCCTCTAATATAAACATTCCATTTGAAAACTTCCCAAGGTTATAAAAAAAAACAATTATGATTCTTTCGGGTGACAATGAAAATGCTTCAATTGTTCAAATACTTGATTAATTTTTTATAGTACTTGTTTCTGAAACTCCATTGATTGAAATAAATGCAAGAAGAATGGTTTAGCGTTTTTTTTTTCTGCCGAGAGAAGGTAGTGACACTAAAAAAAAACTCATAAGATTTGCTCACATGTATATACAAAGTTTGGCCAAAAGACAAAATTTGGGAAGTTAAAAATTCCATAATGACTCGGATTTTGCAAGTTTGTTGTTTGAATGTCTATTTTAGTTGCAAACATTTGTCTGATCTCTTTTTAAGGCGACATTTAGCTCTATATAAAAAAAAAAATTTAAAAATTAAAAGTATTACAGACTTGTGAAAATTAAAAAATTGTAAAAGCAAAAAATTCTATAAATTTTGGCTCGATTTTTTTAGAACTCCTCTAACTGATCTTAAAATTTTCAAAATGCGTTTTTTTGGTTTTTAATAAATAAACGTTTTAACTTAGAAAAAAATTCTAACTCTAAAATAAATTAATATATATGTATTTAAATTGAACTGAAATCATTTAACATAACTTTTTTGAGTCTAAAAATAGTTTTTCAAAGTTAAAAATGCATATCTTTAAAGAAACACCTTTTATATATCGAGGGCTTATATTCAATATAACCTATCTGCAGTTTTTACAAAAGTGAGATTCCTATATAAAAATCGAACTTAGACTTAACTGTCATCGATGATGTTTATGCATACACTAATACTAATACATACCTATAACCGTAATAAATTTATTTATGACCAGATGTATTTTTATAAAAATATTAATTTTTCCTTGAGGTTTTATGCTAAGAATCTAATATCTTCAATCTATTTTTCTCATCTTACAGGTGCTGGTGAATCGGGTAAAAGCACAATAGTTAAACAAATGAAAATTATCCACGAAAGCGGGTTTACCCCAGAGGACTTCAAACAATATCGGCCGGTTGTCTACAGCAACACAATACAATCATTAGTTGCAATACTTAGAGCAATGCCAAACCTCAGTATTCAGTACAGCAATAATGAACGAGAGGTAAGTAGTTTAGTAGCCACAGTTACCGCCTACACTACCTGTAATGTAATGCATGCCATGCCAGCTACATATGTACCACCACCTATACATACAAGCATATGCATGCAGAGGTTCCAATCTGTACATGAACTATTACAAATGCAAATACAAATACGAATATACATATGTACCTACATACATATATAAAAAAATGGAATTGCAATTGCTCGCCAAAAGCAACTGAGTGGGTGTATGTTACTACGCTAAAGGGCCAACACCTATGTAGCTGTAAATGTGGGTGGTGAATTGTGACACAGCCCCTGCATACGTTGCTTGGGCTGCTGTCACATTGCGGCATTGACAGCTGCAAACGACAACACCCAGGCGCATACGTAGCGTATCTACATATCGTCGTTTAAAGTACAAAACCGCGTAACTGACATTTACTGCCAAAAATTGGATTTGCTCACACAAGCTCTTGGCTCAATCTTTATCCATTCGTTCTAAATATACTAGCCAGAAATGCGATTGCTTTATAAAAAAGAAATATTTATGAATGTTTTTACTCTCTACAAAATAATTTATGCAACCTCACATACGCAGTTTATCATTATCTTGATAGATGGTTTTGTACATTGAACGACGATATACATATTTACACATGTACATACACTAGCAGCCAAGTAGTAAATACTTTGTATGTGTTGGCGTTATTGCCTGCGATGTCCTTTACGAATTTGCAAATATGCCATTACTATTTCAGCACAAGCTGTTTTCCGTGAGCTTTAATGTCTCTATGTGTGTATATGTACTACGAATCTATGTATAGGCATACGTATAGATATACATTAGATCGGTTCGGTCTCCATGCGAGAGAAACAAGTTCCTTATTATTCCAACACCTTCCCCGCTAGTTTGACAGTGTACAGCGGCATGAATTTAGCTTTGTTTATATCGTTTCTATCCTCGAGCGCCCTTGGGTGCACAAAGGTACACATGTTAATTTTGTTCGCATAACGGTTGTTTGTAACAGCCTTAGAGAATCGAGATAGATATAGACATACGAGTGTATATACCAAAATGCTCAGAATCAAAAGGTAAATTGATTACGCAACGTCTGTCCTTTCGTCCGTCCGTCCGCAGACATGATAACTCGTGTAAAAAAATAAGATATATTAGAGAAATTAGTCACATATGTACATATGTAGGTTGGTATTGACCATTGGCGAAATCGGGCAGTTGCTTGGGGTGTCACTAAGGAACCCGTTTAAAATGTTTGAAATCGGGCCATAGCCGCGCTACCTCCCTTATAACGGTAATTTACATAAATACGAAAAGTGTTACTACTAAATTTAATTCACACAAAATCAGTGTTTGCAATAGCCTCTTATTATCACATTTTTGGAAAATGGTCGTGGCACCGTCCCCTTGTGCCTACCTACATATCGCCGATGATTTTGCAAAACCGCCCATCAACCAATTGTTAAACCGCCTATTTTACGGCACTCAAATTTTACAGGAGAGCGAAAAAAAGGTTTTTCTTTGAAGGCATTGTTGTTAAAATAACGATTTTTTTATTTTTTATGCGTAAATCTCGATGCCTGGAGTTAGGGTTACCATATCTCATTTTTGCCACAACGGCGATTTAGGCAGTTTTGCAAAAACATCGACGATATGTGTATCTCCGTAACTGATTTATCAATTTGTACCAAGCTCTGTACGATTATTGCGCTTGGAGCAAAGGGCAATTTGTTACAATTTTTTTAAATCGGACTAAAATCACGTCCACTTTCCATATAACGGTCAATTTCAGAAATATGAACACTCCGATATTTCAATAACTAAAGACGTAAATTTACTTCACCACGTCTTCTTCTTATTTGACGCTGTAACCGCCTAAGCGATTGTGGCCGAGTTCAATAAAGCACGACAGTGAAGCCGCCAAGTCCTTCTTCATTAGGTCTTTCCAGCGCAGTGGGACCCTCCCTCTTCCTCTGTTACCCCCAGCGGGTTCCGTTGAGTTGAATACATTCATAGGTGTAGCGTCGGTGTCCATTCAAACAACCTAACCAATCCAGCGCAGCCAATGTATTTTAATTCCCTGCACTATTTCCATGTCATTGTAAATAAAGCTCATTCTGCTCGTCGTTCTATCATTTGCGGTACTTACCGTCGCCTAAAAGGCGCGTAAAGGCTCGTAAATCTTCCTCAAAATCTTTCTCTCGAATACTCCAAGAGCCGCCTCATCTCTTTGATACAACATTAAAAATGTATTTTTGAAAGTCATAAATCTCTTTAGGATCATGAAAAACTTCATCACTTACATAAGTTTTTAATTTTAAAGTAAGTAACTTTAATTTAGACAGTTAGAAATTGAGATAACTGATTTTACTGGCCAGTGGGGGCGGGCAATTGAGACCATGTCTGTTTTAAGGGCATGTCAGCAACGAAATTTTTCATGTCGCGATTATCGTCCCCAAGTAAGCTTACAAACTGGGGGATTAGTTACAAAGTTTTTTGCGACCCGGTGTAATGCATAAGTATATTTATATTTACGTAGTTATAGTATATTCCTGCTACTTCAATACATATAAACAAACACTAATATCCTCACCTTGCGTGTGCGTGTATCCTTTATTACTTTCAGAACGATGCAAAAATGGTATTTGATGTTTGCCAACGCATGCATGACACGGAACCTTTCTCAGAGGAGCTTTTGGCTGCCATGAAACGATTGTGGCAGGATGCTGGTGTTCAAGAGTGCTTCTCACGTAGCAACGAATATCAATTGAATGATTCCGCTAAATAGTGAGTAATTTATTTGTATACATACATATAAACAAATTACTTGATTCTAATTTTTATGAACATACTTTTACTCTGCTACGGATGAAGTGGTTTCATGCAATATTTCTTAATTTAGCTTGCAATATACAGTTCGTTAGAGAGTGTTTTCAAGGAATAATAACGTTACCTAAAAAGGAACAGTCCAGCGCCTTCGTCTTGGCCTGCAGGCTGTATCGGAGATACAGCCGCTAAATTTAAACGTAGAATACGTGGTATGGTTAAGAGCATATCCAAGTAAAAAAACAAAAGCACACACTAAGCAAAAAATATCGATAACAAAAGCGATAATAATATCGGTAGCAAAATCGATAAAAACATCGATAAAGAAATCGATGAAAATATTGATATCAAAATCGAAAAAATATCGAAAGCAAAATCGATA